TTTTTTTGAGACAGAACCTCAAGCTGTCCCCCTGGGTAGAGTGCCATGGCATCACAGCTCACAGCAACCTCCAACTCCTGGGCTCAAGTGAGTCTCTTGCCTCAGCCTCCCAAGTAGCTGGGACCACAGGCACCCGCTACCACGCCCGGCTTTTTTTTGTTGTTGTTGTTGTTGTTGTAGCCATCGTTGTTTGGCGGGCCCGGGCTGAATTTGAACTCACCACCTTAGGTGTATGTGGCTGGCACCTTAGCCTCTTGAGCCACAGGCGCCGAGCCTTGGTATAAATTTCTGACCCTGAGCTACATGGTACCATTTTGTGAGTTGAAGAGGTAACCCTTCTGCTAGGGCAGATGCAGCATTATAGTCTGGTGCAAGATGCACAGCTTTGCAATATGTTAGCCCACACTTGCCGCCCTGGCCAGTTATCTTTGTGCAGTATACAACATGCATGAATGTACCCAGTGGCTCTGACTGCTCCCTCTCTTTTATACTTCTCTTTTTTCTTGTTAGTCTTAATCTAAACTATTCTTCTTACTTGTACTTGACTCTCTCTTGTTTTAATCTTGTAGGTCTCCTTAGTTACTACATTCCCCAGGTTGAACCCCGGGACCTTGACTTTAGTACCTGTCATGGAGCTGTGAGTGCTACTCCACCAGCTCCCACCCTGGTTTCGGGGGACCCTTGGTACCCATGGTACAGCTGGGAACAGCCATCAGAGAGAGAATTGTCCTGTGTTCGCCGCCGTTATCAGGGTCATCTCCAAGAAGAGAGTGGCCCTCCACCTGAGTCAATGCCTGAGGTGCCTCCCACAACATCAGCTGAAGCTTCCTTTACTGAGCAGACCAGTCCTCAGAGTGCTTCATAGCCATAGACTGGGAAGGGGGCCTGACAAAGGAAGTGGTGCCTAGGATTACATGAATGGGATGTTACCCTGAAGATTTATGCCTTTCGCAGGTCCAGGAAGGACATGAATCTTGTTGAAGGGTTAATCTGAGGCTGAGGGAGGGAAGCACAGATGTGTATCAGAAACCCCAACCCCTATATATTGTCAATAGATGGTTTAAAAATTCTATTACTCTTTCAGACTTCTGCCAACTCAGCTTTTCCACAATAAAGGTGTATCTTCTGTCTCTGATTTATTTGGTGCTGAGTTTCCGATAAATGTCATTGGTGGGAGTGGGAAAGGTACCCAATTGAATGGTGTTGAAATGGGGTGTTGGCTCGGTGCCCATAGCACAGGTGATTACGATGCCAGCCACACACGTACACGGAGGGTGGTGGGTTCCAACACTGCCTGGGCCAGCTAAACAACTGCAACAAAAAAATAACTGGGAGTTGTGGCAAGCGCCTGTAGTCCCAGTTACCTGGGAGGCAGAGGCAAGAGAATCACTTAAGCTCAAGAGCTGGAGGTTGCTGTGACTCCATGGCACCCTACTAAGGGCGACGTAGTGGCACACTCAAAAAAAAAAAAAAATGATGCGGTGTTTGCTTGAGCTTAGGAGTTCAAGACCAGCCTGAGCCTGTGAGACCCCTGCCATCTTTAAAAAATAGGGGGTGTTGTGGTGGGCGCCTATAGTCCAAGGTACTTAGGAGGCTGAGGCAAGAGACTGCTTGAGCCCAAGAGTTTGGGGTTGCTATGAGCTATGTCGTCATGGTATTCGACTCCAAGGCAACTGAAATGTGGTGTTGCAGTGGCAGAAGGTGTGATCATGCTTATCAGAAACCAGGGATGGAAGGTTGGGCGATGCTTTTTTTTTTTTTTTTTTAAGTGACGGAGTCTCATCACTCTTGCTAGAGTGCTGTGATGTCACAGCTCACAGCAACCTCCAGCTCTTGGGCTTAGGTGATTCTCTTGCCTCAGTCTCCGGAGTAGCTGGGACTACAGGCACCTGCCACAACACCTAGCTATTGCAGTTTGGCCGGGGCTGGGTTTGAACCTACCACCGTCGGTATATGGGGCTTCACCCTACTCACTAAGCACAGGCGCCGCCCAGGGGCGATTCTTTTTTTTTTTTTTTTTGAGACAGCAACCTCCCAACTCCTGGGCTCAAGCGAGTCTCCTGCCTCAGCCTCCCAAGTAGCTGGGACTACAGGGTCCCGCCACAACGGCTGGCTGAAGTGTCTTTTGGCGGGCCGGGCTGGATTCTAGCCGGGGCAATTCTATCTTGATGTCCTTTCTGGGCTCTGGGGGGACCAGAAATTATTCACTCCCTGGCCGCATTACCAGAGAGGCAGACAGGTCCGAGAGTGAGACTGGGCCCAATAAAAGTCTGGCAGGCAGGGGTGAATTGACTTGCTAAAGTAAGGTGACCAGACTCCCACTTTTTAACAAAAATGCCCCGGTTTTTGGAAAGAATACATGACAAGCTAGGGAACGGTGGGAGAACAGGAAGGGAATATAC